AAATAAATAAATAAATAAATAAATAAATAAATAAATAAATAAATAAATAAATAAATAAATAAATAAATAATGTCCCAAGCTTGTGTGTTAAAAGTATCATTCATTATTTTGTTGGCAACAAGATCATAATGATGTTCCTTTAGAAAATAATGTAATGCCTGGTAAAGCTCTCACGTTTTGAGTATAACAAGTAGAGATGGGCACAAACTGCTGAACCTGGAGTTTGTGTTGGTTCGTTTTTTTGGCCAAACAGTGATTCCTGACCAGGCCTCCTCTGGTGGGTACCCACTCAGAGGCAGTGCCCGGAGGAGATGGAGCAGGGAAGTCAGAGCACTGCTTCTGAGTGGGGCTCCCACCAAAGGAGGCAGGGCTGGGAAGCACTCAACACTACTAGTTCACCTGTTCAGCCAAAAAAAAATCAGCATAATTTGTGCCCATTTCTAATTATGAGTAATGTTTATTTCTCACTTTTGAAATGTGACATTCAAGAATTTTGGATTGTTTGGGGCAGTTTTGTTTTGCAAAAAGTGTATTTGTACATACTACAACTTTACTATTACTGCTACTGATGTTTATGATTATTTAACTAAAAAATAACTTATTTCTAATGGATTACCCTTGATTTGCTACTTTGGAAAAACAACAAGTTGTAGCCAATGCAGCACTACTGAACAAAAAGTTCTAGTCTTGAGATGGGGGTGGCACATGACCCCCACTTCCTTTATCAGTTCGCTTATCAGAGAGGAAGTAACTGAAGGTCAGTGGTGTCATGTGTGTGCAGGGGCTACAGGGGCCGTTGTCCTGGGTACAGAATTCTTAGGGGCATGTGGGCCAGCTCCTCGGCTGAACAGGTGTTTGGAGGTTACCCGCCCTGCCTTCTCTGGTGGGCGCCAACTCAGAGAAGGCGTGGCTCCTCTGGGCATTGCCTGTGAGTGGGGGAGCCCACTACAAAAGGTGGGGCTGAGAACCACCGAAGCAGCAGTTTGTGACCATCTCTACACAGCCTATGTTTAATGCCATTCTAACAACAGAGAAAAGGGGGGAAAAGAGAAAGAAAGCAAAAGTCTTTTTCAGAAAGATATTCTGGGATACTACCTCCTATTGTACAACCATTGTCTGGCCTGATAGAAGCAGAAGCTTTTTATCCTAATTCTAGCACAGAGGTTCAGAGTTGTGTATATTTCTGACATGTTCTGACAAGTAAAACATCCTAAACTGCTTGTTTCCTATTGCCTAGGATGGAATGAAGATAAACAAAAGGCAACAACAGAATTGCTGAGTTCCACCCATGAAGCAAATCATAGGAGAGCTAATGTGATTTCCGAAAAGATGCTTGTTAATCATTCCGGGACTGCTGTCTCTTTCACAAGAAAAACATTGAAAAATTTAATATAGATTTATAGAGGCATTCCAGATGTCTGTTTGAGTGAAAAATTTATACTGATTACATTTTTTAAAAAAGTGAATTTGTATGTCTAAATATTTCTTTCATCCTGTGTGTATTTCAATCCACATAATCTGTTCAGATCATTTGTCTTAATGTATGCAGAGAGAAAAAGCCTTAAAATATCTCTCACTGAAAGGTTTTAAGACTGAATGGAAGATTAGTCTTTGCCACATTATTCTGAAGAGCTAGGCAACATTTGCTTAGCTTGCTGGCAACAAAGATAAAGCCTGGCAAAACCTTATATCTAAGCCCTTTATGAGCTTATGCCTTACATGGTGTGAATATATATATACACACCAGGGCTCACTTCCTACATATCACACTGGAGGGTGAGCCAGAACAATCATAATGCTGGTACCTCAAAATGATGTTTTTTTTTTAAATGATGTTACTGGGCTATGTTGCCTGCTGGCTGATTGGCCAGTCATTCGAATGGGTTATAGCAGTGTCCAGTGAGAAGGAAGAAGAGGGCCCAGCAGAAGCCATGGATGCCTTTAAATCGCCTTGTGGAAGATAGGTGGTTACACCAGTGTCTAGCAGGATGAGCTAGCAGTAGACTCCAGTGGCTCAGCAATCAGGCTCAGAAGCCCACCAGTTACCTTGTAAGTTTGGATGAGGAAGAAGAAGCGACAGAGTGGCAGGACATTTAAACTTCACCTGCACATTGAGGTACTAAGGGGAGCAGACCATGGAGGGAAAAACACAGCATCTCTCTGGCCAGAGGAGCAACCAGGGAAAGAAGCTATGCAAAGGAGGTGCAAGCACAATCCTGGGAAGGTTTTAGGTCAAAAGACATGCAAAACCCCAGGAGCTGGGCTGTTCATTTGTTACCCACATCCTATTAAAAGATCATGTATTTTGGAGATTCTTCCAGCAGAAGTAGCCAGACTAGGGAAGGGAGTACTAAATCTTGACTAGGGGTTTATGGAGCCTGTCCATCAAGGGAAGCTGAGTTCTGGTGCCTAGGCATGTAGGGGACCTACAGAGCTGACCTTCCTCACAGGGAGAATTGCAGAAAGACCCCTGAGCTCCAACCTACCCTCAACAGTAGGAGGTTATAGGTCATCAATCAATCTGATGTGATGTATCTTGAGTGCTCCTGAGGATGGCTCTGTAGAGGCTGAAGAACGGGGCTGGATCAGCACAGATGAAAGCATAAGACTGAAGCCTCCAAAAGGAGTTGTGGTTTGCCGCAAAGAAACTCCCATTCAGCGAGGACACAGGGGCTGTGAATGCCCACTCTGAACCAGTGAGGTAACCAGAAAAGAGGATTGAAAGAACTACTTAGCACTTATTTGTGCATCCTGTTGGCTCATAAAGGTGGAGGAGAATGGCTTTAATGTTTGCTGGTCAAGGGGGAGAATCCCACATGGTCATATTTAATGGGTGACTTGCAAAGGCATGTGTTCCTAAACTGTCATCTTCACATGCCACTGACTCCTCATCACACACACACAAACTATTTAGAAATGCCTGTGTGTTGTTTACACATGGTAGGTTGGACCCCGGATTTGGTTTCAGTAGTCAAGTGGGCTCCAATCACAAAAGGTGCCTCTGCCTCACTTTGGGATATCCCCTCTTTTTTTCTTGCACCACCACTCATGCGCTTCAGCATTATACTGTAATCTTCTGTATAAAGAGAGTGGAGAATTCTGTGTCCATTAGTCCAGTCGCACATTCAAGAGAAAATTGGACAACAATCTGTCAGATGGCTTGGATTCCTACACCGAGCAAGGGGGGTTGTCAGATGGCTTGGATTCCTACACCGAGCTAGGGGGGTTGACTCGACAGCCTTATAGGCCCCTTCCAACTCTGTATTCTGTGATTCTATCATTCTGTGCCGAAATCGGGATCCAACCATCTGAGTTTCTTACAAGTAACAATGGTATAATAGTCATGATAAATGAAAAGTGCTGTTACAGAAAGTATAGAGTCGGTTATGCCTCTTATTTATTATATGGCTGAACCTTATATATTGTATACTTCTCCCTTCAGCAATGTTGGGTTTAGGGGTGCTGGACCCTCATGTAGTTCTAAATCTGTGTATAATTCTTATGGCTTCAAAAATGTAACTATAAAGCATAAACAGTTCACACACACACACACACACACACACACACACACACACACACACACACACACACTTCTCTCTATCAGGGGTCTCTTCCATAGCATTGACAATTCTTTCCATACAGCACCATGTATAACGAGCTTTAAAGGTCCTAATGGCCCCCTGATCTAGAGGCAGAATTAGAGATGTTGTGTTGGGAGCAAGTAGACCACTTTTGTTGCCTTCATTGTTGAACTCATTGGGGACTTGTTCCCACTGGTGGAATAAACTGGGAGAAGGCTGTTTTTGGTGGTGGGGGAGGGGGGAATTTGGGCTAAAGTCACATGGACTTTAGCCCAAATCCTAAATTTTGGGGTTGATGTGTGTGTCCTCACTGCTGTCACCTTGTCCTCCCCACCACCACTGCCTCCTTGGCTTCCCCTCTGATGCTGCCTTGACCTCCCCGCTGCAATCGCCACTGCCACTGCCTCGGCCTCCCTGGGTGGTATGGCACCTGCCTGGAGCCAATGATCGTGCTTCCCTACCCCCGAGAAGCCAGCTGAGAGGAACCAAGGCAGCAAAGCTGGGTTGCTGTCTCTGAGCAGGCACTGTGGTGCCCACTTAATCCAGGCAGTGAAGCCGGGTACTCCTCCTGCTGCCTTGGCCACCTCTGGGTCATCTTCCTTTCTACTCTTGTTTTTCCCCTCTTGCCAAATAGACTGAAATACATCCATTTGAAATAAATGACCCTCTGAAGGAAGAGTATTTTATGTATCTTTCAAACAAACAAACAAAAATCCATGCTTCCCTGGGAAAATAATCCATGCTTGCATTTACATCATGGAGACACCTTATTTAAATAATTTTTTTTAAAAAAAGCAGAATCCAATTCAACTGAGGTTCTTATTGCCAGTGAGGTCAGGATCTGGGTTCTGGGTGGGTGGAGACACAGTATTTATTGAATATTTATTTATTTATTGAAAAAATATTTATACAAAAAATCCATGTATAACTGAAACCATGCTGTTGAGACCCACACAATTTGAGGGAGAAATGTACTTTTTATTTTATTTTATTTTAGGGTTTATTTATTTATTTTTTAACAACTAGGGATAAGGTAAGGAATACATAAGTTAAAGGGGGATATGGGGAAAAGTGGGGGGTAGGAGAACACAGAATATACAATCATCCAATCTGTTCATGCTGCGATATCGACTTTCCGCCTTTCTATAATTTATTTGCCCTCCAGGTTTCAACTTACAATTGCTGTACATCTTAGTTTAAATCTATGTTACTCAAACACTATCTGGGGACTCAAGCCATTTGTATAATAAATCCCATCGTTCAGTTGCCTTTTGTATTGGACAGTCTTTCAACACTTCTGATAGAATATCCATTTCTGCTGCTTCCTATATCTTCTCAATGAGTTCTTTTTTCGGTATCTCCAATTTCTTTGGAATCTTAGCGTAGAGAATTCTGGCTGCAGTGACTAGGTAACTTGTTGTCTTATCTATATTGTCTGGTATAATGCTCAGTAAAAACAATTCTGGGGTTAGTGGAACATTACAAAGCAGTATTTTCTGCAGCAACGTATGTACTGCTCTCCAATACTGTTTCGCTACTCTTCAAGTCCACCACATATGATAAAAGCTTCCCACTTGTGCTTCACACTTCCAACAAACATTTGACACCTCTGTATAAATCTTTTACAGTTTTTCCGGAGTCATATGCCACCTATAAAACACCTTGTATATGTTCTCCTTGAAATTTACCAATTTTGTGAGTTTTATGTTATTTTTCCTTATTTGCAACCATTGATCAATATCAATATCATGTCCTATATTTGTGCCCACCTAATCATACATTCTTTGACCATCTTGTATTGCATTTTAATTTCTAGCAGATAATCATACATTTTCTTAATTACTTTATCATTTGAGCCCAGCAGAAGTTTATCGAATATCGTTTGTTCGGGGTAAAAACCCTCTATTTTATCTTTTCTATACCTACATTCCACTTGTGCTCTGGACCACCAGTCTAGATATATGTTTTGTGCCTGTAACTCTTCTTTAGACCTTAACTCACAATCCTTTAAAAAATAAATCTCAGCATCCTAGAAGTTTCGCTTCTGTCATGAGGTTAGGTTGTGCAAAGGCCTCTATAGGTGATACCCAGCCTGGTGTTTTTTGGTAAATCTGCTGAATGATCTTTTTCAAGTCCCTAGGCGAATTCTCCTTATCATATGCGAGTTGAAACTTTTCTGCTCCTTATCTTTTTTGTACCATAGAAAAGCATGTCAACCTAACTGTGAATCATGTCCTTCCAAAAATAAATGTATAACTGAAACCATGCTGTTTAGACCCAAACAATTCGAGGGAGAAATGTACTTGTTTTTATACTTACTGTAAATTTCTGGGCTATTTTGATACAGGGTGGCAGAGGAACATTGTGCATAAATGACACAAACTGTTTTCTTCCTGTTTCTTTTCCTTCCTGTCTGCAGCTTTCCCTCACTTAGCAGCACCGGCCACTCTCCCCAGGCCTGTCCAGATGGGCTCGGCACCCTGGGCAGATGCTCCATCTGTCCCAGCGCCTTAGCTAGCTCTGCTTCCTCCTGCTTTGTGTAATCTCCATTTGTCTGGTCCAGTATGAGACAGCGCTGTGGTGTAAGATACTCAGAATGTGTGGGGAGGGCCTGAGAACACAAAAGTGTATCAACTGGCATTCCTAGATCTATATTTTGAAAAGACTTGACTTTCATGGTGCAACGTATTTGACATACTGAGGTAAATGTTGCCATTTTCCACAGGAAAAAGGAAAGAAAGAAAAAAATATGCCCAGGTTACAATGAAATTTTATTTGCTCAGAACAAATGGAATGAAAAGCCAATATTTGACATCACCCAGGACAGTTATAGAGATAGGATGCTTGAGAAAGAGCCAATTTCTTGTCTATTGAGATAACAAGAGAGAGGCAGAAAAAGAACCTATCTATGTCCCCATGATTAAGATTATTTATTCTGCATGTCATGTTTGGTGCTAAAGAATAGTCTGGGTACAGCCCGTACACCCTTATGGCTGCAGACGGTTTCCATTGTCCTTCTCTCCCTGTACTGCATTCTAAATAGACCATCATAACTCATAATGCTAAAGAACTAGAATTTAAGCTGCTTCAAAGGAACAGTCACACTTTAGCAATGGAAGGGCAGGCAGAAGTGGAGAGCTGTTGAGCAAAAAAGTCTTCTGTCTTTCCTTGAAGGATGCTGCACCCTCAAAGAGAAGGAACTCCCATTTCACCACATGCCACAGAAAGGAAGTGTGCTGTGTG